TGAGAAGAAATAATAAATGATAATTGTTTAGAGGATATGATCACGAAAACTATTGTATAATTTTCATGATACACACCCAAAAGGGGCTTGGGTATGCATCATTGAATTTCTCATATATTTAAGAAATATGCTTTGGAACTCTAATTCTTGAACTCTAAAGTCAACTCTAATGAGCTGGCAGTGGTCTCCACCCACTGTGATGTGATATTTCTGTCTTGGTTTGTTGAGCAATGATACATCATTCTAATTTTAGAACTTTAATTGAGCTCTAATGATGTAGTTGAGAATTTTTTTTTTAAAAAAAAGCCAAAACATCCTATCATAGTGGGACCCAGTTCTATTAGAGCTCAATAGAGCTTCCTTATTAGAGCTCCCAATCATTTTTGTGATTTTTTTTTTCTTGTCATGTCATTAGTGGTCTATTAAGAGTAATGTTAGAGACTCCAACTAATCTATCAAATGTTTTACCAAACCTTTTACATAGGTGTAGGACCCACACACATGTGGGTTTGTATAGATCCCACATCCATGTAAGAAGTTTGGTAAAATATTTAATAGATTGTTTGAGATCTCTAACATTTTTCCTCTGTTAAAACATCAAAATTAATACTCTGAATCATTGTTATTTATTTAAATGGGTTATATTAATGAATGAACATGATGCTTTGATTGTAAATTTTAAATAATTTTCTGATTGTATTTTCTTCCTACATAGACCCACTGTTTTAAAAATTCACTCCCAAGTTACGCTCTAGTCTCAATGGAAACGTGATTTTATTGAGGTATGACATTTAATTAATTTAAATTTTTTTTTATAGATAATCTGAAATCTTACATTATGAACAGTTTAAATTATTAAATTAAATTCGAGACACACTTTTTTATTGTGAGTTATAAATACTAATTAGTTTAATTTTTTCATAAATAATCTAAAATCTTACAATATGAATGGTTTATACTATTAAATTAAATTTGAGACACACCCTTACAAACTCATAACACGGTACTATACCTTATAGAGACAGCACTAACCCAGTCCTAGCTCAACATGTTACCATCACTATAGTGAATGTTACTAATGCCATTTTTCTAAAATTTCCAATTCTTCAAGTCATGTGCGGTCTATCTTGGGAATTTAGTGAATGTGTCTCACACATAAGCGCCGTGCTTCGCATGATAGTCTATGCCTATAGTTCAAGCAATCTCAAATTACTTAATTTGAAATTTACATTAATCTAAAAGGATCTTTAATATTTGATCACTAATTACTGATGTTTTTCTATTGCGCACTACTTGTAGCTTGTTATTTTTCCCGTTCAGCAATAACTGTGAGTGTTACCGATAAAAACATCTCATATTTGCAAATATTAGATCAGCAAAACTATGGGAAGGTTAGGGTCCCTACAAAACAAATAGTATATAAGCAAAATAATAATAAAAATCCATAGTGCATATTGTGCAAAACTTCAAGGAGGTTATGAAATTTGTTTTTTGTTTTTTGTTTTTTTTTTTCTTCTAATTGTAATATATGTATTAAGTTATATTTTGAAAAAATGAATTGATTTTTTTCAACATGTCATTCTAACAAATAATTGATCAAAACCAAATTCTCACAATTTTTTCCAAGAAAGATTGTATTAAAAATAGTGAAAAACAACAAATAGAAAAGGAAGAAACATAATATAAGTAGGATGGGATAAGGCTAGAAATCTATGTAAGGGGAGGATTTTTCAACATTTGGTTGGCTGGTAGGAAGCCAATAGATGCAACACTAATCGTCATTGTCAATGAACCAAATCACTCTAAGAAAAAATACTTTTCGTGACCAATATTTTGGTCGCGAAAAGTACCATATTTGGTCGCTAAAATCTTTTCGCGGCCAAAATATGTTGGTCGCGAGTTGGTCGCTAAAGTCTCGTCACAGATAGTTTTCTGCGACCAAAAAAGCCTTTGGTCACTAAAAGTGACTATTCGCGACCAACTTTTTTGGTCGCGGAAAGTCCAATTCATATTAGCAAAAGTAAACTTTTAGCGACCAAAGATAAGTTGGTCACCAAAAGTTAGCGCCTTGACCCAAAAAAAATAATTATTTTGTGCTACCTGAAACTTAAACTCCTGACCAAGGAGTTACCATGCACCCAATCCAGTCTACCAATAACATGCTTCTTGTTCATATTTGACAAAAAATATATATTACTTATAAAAATTGGGTTATATATTATTTTATAAAACTTTTAATACCTAAACAGAAAAATAGCATGTAATTACAGTAGTATCATTTTTTAAAAAATTTATCCCGCCATAACTTTCCACGGCCAACTTTTTTTTGGTCGCCAAAGGGTAATCTTTTGCGACCAAAAAAGCCTTTGGTCACCAATAGTATACTTTCCGCGACCAACTTTTTTTTTTGATCGTCAAAAGGTGATCTTCTGCAACCAAAAAAGCCTTTGGTCGCCAATAGTATACTTTCGGCGACCAACTTTTTTTTTTTTGTCGCCAAAGGGTAATCTTCCGCGACCAAAAAAGCCTTTGGTCGCCAATAGTATACTTTCCGCGGCTAACTTTTTTTTTTGGTCGCCAAAGGGTATACTTTCTGCGACCAACTTTTTTTTTGGTCGCCAAAAGGTGATCTTCCGCGACCAAAAAAGCCTTTGGTTGCCAATAGGTATACTTTTCGCTACCAACTTTTTTTTTGGTCGCCAAAAGGTGATTTTCCGCGACCAAAAAATTATGGTCGCCAAAAGTTAAATTTTAGTTGCAGAAAGTAGACTATTTGCGACCAAAAAAAATAGGTGGTCGCTAAAAGTATTTTTTCTTGTAGTGAATGTTGAAAAATAATGATTTTTCGACAGCTTTAATTCGAAATTAAAGTGAGACCCAACTGCTGATTGAGGTGGGTCTGAGTAGTTTTGTATTCTCTTAAGTGAGAAGATTATTATATAAAAATAATGAGCCAAAACTATTGAGTTGTGAATGAGAATTGTCTCATAAAGTGGGCATCAATAAAGTTGTGTTTAGATTTGGACTTAATCTTAGTTTGGACTAGGTTAGGCTTGTACTTGTGCATTTGTTGGGTTTGGTCTTGGACTTGGACTTGGATTTAATCTTGAGTTTGGGCTAAGTTATGTTGTGTTGGGCTTAGCTTGTGCATGTGTTTGCGAATTGGGCTTAGATTGGGTTGTGACCCAACATTAATAACCATTTTGTGACCCATCTAATTGGTTTATTCAACCATCATTATATACATATTTATTTGTATATATTAAGCACATGAGAGGTTTAAACCTTTGTAACTCTCATCTTTTAATGATGGAGTTGATGGCCATATTAGTGGCCATTGAATATATTTCAAAACTTGTTAAGCTTTGAAACAAACTTTTAACAATTTATTATCTAACTCAACCCAACCCAACTCAACTTATTTACTATCCTAAAAATAGGAACAATGTGAAATACTATTTTATTGAATGTTCTTTGTTTATACCAAAAAAAAGTTGGGCATACCCTAGATCTAAAGGAAAAGGGACATGGAATCACCCCCCGAACACCCCACCACATAAGGTTTGGCCTCATAATCACAATTATGGAGTTTGGATAACATGCCACTCTGACACAACGCCATAGGCGATTTCAATTAGTTAAAAATCTAACTTTATGTAGTTAAAGATTGCTCCCAAACTTGGACGATGCAAAAATTGTGCTTGGGCTTGGCTTTGGGTTGGGGCAGAACTTCGCCCAATCCGAAACCTTCTTGTTAGTTTTCTGGGACGGGTGAGTGTATGCCTGGGTCTGGCCCATAATAAACACAATTATACCGATCCAGTGTCTTAGGTGAACCCCCCCCCCCAACACAAAACCCCACACACACAAAAAAAAATCGAAAAATAAAGGATTGAGATTCTCTCAAATTGAAATCAACTATCATATTGGGATTCGTGAGATCATCTATGGAAACAGTAAGACCTATCATGAGTCTCATTTCGATAATTCAAAACGTTTATTTTGTTAATCACTTTGTGTATATTATCTACACAAAAAATTTGATCGATCTGGCAATCGTAATCTATTAATTTATCAAATTTGTCATAAAAAAATAAATTGTTTATTTTTAAAAATACAATTATCATTAATTTTTTTAGTGACAAACGCAATAAATTAAAAAGATTACAATTATTAAATTGACTTAATTTTTGGAATGAATAATATATACAAAGTGATCGACAAAATAAACGGGTTGGAATTGAAATAGGATCCACAGTAGGCCTCATGGGCCCGAATAGCATAAAGGCAATCCTTCTCTTTTTAAAAAATATACCATTTATTTTATTTTTTTTAAGACAAACATAATAAATTAAAAGGGTTACAATAATTAAATTGATCAATATATACGAAATATTTTACAAAATAAAGTTTAAATTATCAAAATAAGATTTATAGAAGTCTGATTGGCTCTAATATGATAGTCAAGTTCAAATTTAAAACTGAATGAAAACTAAGCCTAAAATGCAATATAATGAAAAAGAGTTTGACACAATTTGTGTGGCCCATTTCAGACGAATTCCTACCATGTGATGTACTCTGATCACAAAACTGCATCTACTTTGAACCACAGGATGATTGATCCATGACTGCTGATTCATCAATTCCAAGCTCGGCTTCACATCTAATTCCATGCCCTCCACCACACACGATCACAATCACCACCTCAAATAAATCCTCACCAACCTCCATCTCTCTCCTCTCAACACCTCCAAAATCCGACAGAACACTACGTGTCACAAAACCACGCCACGTCATTGCATGCAACCCATGCATGACAACTCTAACAAACACGTGACACCACCCTTCTCAACACGTACCACCCCTTCTCTTCCTTCCCCACCTACATATATACATATCATCTAAATCCCAATATCACAAATACATTCTCTTCCTTCCCCACCTACATATATACATATCATCTAAATCCCAATATCACAAATACATTTATATATATTTCAATAATTTCAAATCAAATATCGTCTGATCAGTTTTCCACCGTCCGATTTCTTCTCAAAAATGGCCGAGCAATTCCAACAGCGATACCAGCAGCAGAACCAGCCGCAGGCTCACCAGATGGTGAAGGCTGCAACGGCCGTCACCGCTGGCGGGTCCCTGCTGGTTCTGTCTGGTTTGACTCTGGCGGGGAACGTGATCGCACTGGCCTTGGCCACACCTTTGTTGGTGATTTTCAGTCCGGTTCTGGTCCCGGCCACAATAACGGCGTGTCTTTTGATCATGGGGTTCTTGGCGTCGGGAGGGTTCGGGGTGGCGGGAATCAGCGTGCTGTCGTGGATTTACAGGTACGTGACGGGCAAGCACCCGCCCGGTGCGGACCAGCTGGACCAGGCGAGGACGAAGCTGGCGAGCAAGGCGAGGGAGACGAAGGACAGGGCTGAGCAGTTTGGGCAGCAGCACATCAGTGGTTCACAAGCTTCTTGAAATAAGCTTGTTTTGAATGTGTTTGTGTTTTATCTAAGTCTTCTTTCTTGTTGTTTTTGTGTTCATAATAAGGTTTCTTGAAATAAGCTTGTTTTGAATGTGTTTTATTTAAGTCTTCTTTCTTGTTGTTTTTGTGTTCATAATAAGGTTTCTTGAAATAAGTTTGTTTTGAATGTGTTTTATTTAAGTCTTCTTTCTTGTTGTTTTTGTGTTCATAATAAGGTTGTTTTGAATGTGTCTCTGTTCTTGAAGCTTTTCGTTTTTGTTTTTTGTTTTTAAAATTTTTATTTTAATTTTAATCTTGAAGTGCGTAATATGAGATTTCACTCTTTCTAGAGAATTTAGGGCCTTTCTTTCCTAAAAGTATTTGCAAAATTGTCATGAATTATGAATCATGAAAATTTATCCTGAATTTTATCCTAAAAATGAGTTTTGGTTTTGGGTGGTGTAAATTTAAAATTATTGGGGGTGTACTACAACAAATTAAAGTTTAGGGACTAAATTTTTTTATCTCTAAAATTTTATTCTTGAAAATATTTGGAGACTAATTTCATGTTTTAAAAGTCTTCTTGAATTTTTTTTTTTTTTTATTATTTAGTGACCAAATTGTGGAGACGTCAACAATTAATGTATTTTTAGGACAAAATAATGTCTTACCTTTTTTTAGACAAAAAAAAAAAAAAAATTGATTCAAAAGATAGTAATTTATCATTAAGTTTTGTTTGTTTAGTCATAAAATATTTTTTGGAGAAAATATTTTTTTTATGTTTGGTGGTGATGGTGGTGGTGATAATGATAAAACGAAGGTGGAGGTGGAGATCAGTGCATGGTTGTGGGGCAGCACAGCAGCAACGATAGCGATGGTGATGGTGACCGTGGCTGTGATGATGGTGGTGTGATGGTGGAAGAGAGAGTAGTAGTGGTAGTGTGGTGATGTGGTAAAATTTTAGCTCGGGAAATGTTTTTGCCTTTTAAAAGTGAAAAATATTTTTTGTCTGTATAGATTTATTTTTTGTTGATCATAAAAAATGTTTTTCGTTGATTTTTTTTTTTATTGTATCAAATATTAGAAATTATAAAAATGGAGCATAAGTGTTTAATTTCATTTGAATTTTTTTGAATTAGCATCTTAATTTGAGAGAATGTTATTTCATTTTTAAAAATATTAGGGTTTGGATTTTTTTGAATTGACCATCTTAGAGTTTGGATTTTTTTGAATTGACCATCTTAATTTGAGAAAATGTTTGGATTTAACAGATTTATTTTGGACCTCATTTTGATAATTCGAATTGTTTATTTTCTAATACAATATTTATTTAAGAAAATTAAAATGATTAGGTATTAATAATTATATATTTAAATTTATATTAAAACAATAAATAGTTATTTTTAAAATTTAAATTGTGGTTTATTTTTTTTAAAAAATTAATGTGATTTAAATATATAATTTTTTTTGATTATTTTAATTTTTTATATAAATATTTTATTTAATAAATTTGGAAAAATGATTGGTTTTGATCACTTAAATTGGTCTTAAAATGGATCCATTAAATTTAAAATTCTCACAAATTGAATGGCCAATTGAATCTATTTTCAAAAATATAATTATGATAATTTTGATAATAAAAGTGATTCTATCATTAAAATTTTAGTTTTTCGTCGTGTGTGTATCACATTCATAATGGATGTATATTATTATTATTATTATTATTATTATTTTTGGATTAATTTTTTTGGATTTGTAACGTTGAGAATGAGATGCTCTATAACACTTTATGCAATAATTAAAATTAGAGCTTTTTACATTTCATTTTATGGATTTATATTTTGTTAAGTCTTAATTAAAAAAAATTTGACTTTTAATTTTTGTTAAATTTTTAATAGTCAGAATTATCTTTCAAATAATTATTATAATATTTTAAAACATGATGATGATGATGTGATATGAATTTTAATTTTAAAATTTTAAAACCTTATAATTTTTATAATATATTTTTCTTTTAATATTTTTGTTTTAATGAAATTAATATTATTAGAATCAACACAATGAGATCTTTCAAGTAAGATTAATTTTAAATATAAAATTATGTAAAAATATGCTTTTTTATTATAAATTTATAATTTAGACTATTTTTAATAGTGAGTTTTTTTTAACTTCTTGAATTTCTTAGAATTAATAATATTTGCTTGGTTTAATTTTTTTATTATAAAATATATGGAGTTGGTTGAATTTAACTGATTTTTTTTATATACAAAATTGAATAAAAAAAAACATATTTAACATAGGGAAGTTAAACTAAAAAAATATATTTTATTTAAAAATTGAAAAATTAGATTGTAGTTTTGAAATTTATCTAAAATATATCATTCTTAACACTAAGGTGCCGTTTGGTAACACTTACGTTTTCTGTTTATTTATAAAATTTTTGTAAATATAAACTGAAAACGTAAACGTTACCAAACACACCTTAAGAAATTTTTCAGTTTCAATAAACTTCTAAATTTAAAAAATTGAGAAATAAGTCAGTTTACAATTACTTTCAATTTCTAATCATAATTTAAAATTTTGAACAAATAAAGTATTTTTCTCGCAAACAAATATACATAAATAATTTGATAAATATCACAATTATGGATGAGAAATTTTTTAGTTGATTAAACAATTATATGGAATATTTCTAAAAAAAAAAATCAGTTTTAAAATAGAAAACATTTTTAATGTTCTCAATTGAAAAAGAAACTTCAAAAATATTAATTTTATTATAAAATATATATATATATATATATATGAAATAAAAGTTATGAAAATTTTAAATTGTGAAACAACGAAATAAAAATACGTTGGTATTGACAACTTGAGTTAGGGGAAGTTATTTAATGTTTTTGGAGCACGATCAGGTGGTGCTCAAAAGAGCTGTGATTGATGGAAATTGTGGAATTTACAATTTTGTGTTGGGATATAGAGTATAATATTATTAATAGATAGCATTGTCATATGGTGTATTTTTTAAACATTTAATAATTTTTTTTTAGCTCTTAATAAGTTGACGTTTTTTAATTCCTTCCGTCTGTTATAAGGGTTTACTAGTCATATATATAAAAATATTTCGAAAATAAGATCTTATTAATTAAAAACATGAAGTTGAATTTAATGGAATATTAACCTTACAAATAAGAGTTTTGAATAATTACCTCTTAAAATTATTGTAATAATGGTTGTGTTTTAAACTTTTAATATGGATAAAATTTATTTTATACTATAGGTACGTTTGTTTTGACAGACTGGATAAGGAGGATTGTAATCTATTGAATTATTAGTCTTGGGATACATTGTCCGAGACTATTTGGTTAGACTAAATTTGTATCATATGTTTGTTTAGTCATGGAATTAGATGTCTGAATTAGACTATTTTTAGTTATCCAATGTTTGTTTGGGATATTAAAAATATGTCAAATAAATTTTTATTTAATCTAGCTAAAAATAATTAAAATATTAAAAATATGTTTAATATTGCTATTACTTAGTAAATAATTGAAAATAATAAAATGGTCATTTGAGCATTTATCCTTCTCCATAATATCTCAAACAAATATAAGATTCAATAGAATAATCGTATGACTAAACAAACATAGGATACAAATCCAGTCTAACCAAATAATTTGGAGATAATATATCCCAGAACTAACAGTCTGATAGATTCTAATCCTCTATTATCTAATCTGTCCAAATAAACACACCCTAGAGTTTAAATGTAGGCATAGAAAGATATAATCTAGGTTTGGGGCTATAGTCTTTCTAAAGTAAAAGGGTCCAAACCTCTTCGGTATAAATAATTTTTGGAGTCAGTCTGTAGGGTTTTGTCTTGATTTTAATTGGAACCTCAACAAATGATCAGCGATGAAATTAGTTTACCAAATTAGTCAATGCAATTAATCAAATATTGAGTTATAAAATAAAATAAAAAAAGATATTATTATTAATTTTTTCGTCAAAAGTAACGAAAAGTTTCACTCCTTATTAAGTGTGGGTAATTCAAAAATTCCAAGTCTAAATTCAAAAATTATATCAAATATCAAATTAGTCTCATGTATATGTTCAATTTAGGGTAAATTAAGTTTGCTTAAAATATGGATTATTTCATGTGATTTAAAAAAAATTACAAATGTCCCCCTGTTAGAATTTTTTATAAAAATAAATTTCTTAACAATTTTTCTATACAATGATAAAATTACTTGAATTAATTGAAATAAATTTCTGATATCATAAAAAATTATTAATTGACTTGATGATTTATTCATAAAAAAAATATGAAATTAGAAATTTTAAGAGGCAGGATGTAATTTCTAGAACTATAGGGGACAAATCGAATTTTAAGCAAATCTCAGATATTTTATTTGTATTTTACCCTTTAATTTATAATCTTATTAAATGAGAAATTGAGTTAAAAATTAAAATTAGATTGAGCTAATTTTATGGTAATAAATTAAGGTATTTAGCTTAATTATGATTTAATTTGTTAAATATATATACATACAAATATGTTTGTGTGGTTAATTTAAAATTTTATTAACCAAGAAGTTGAGTAAAAATAAAAAATTAGATTATTGTAATTTTATGTTAATAATTTAGGGCATTTAGATAATTTATAATTTAATTTGTTAAATATGCTATTAAGATAGAAAACTATATGTAATATAAATATTTAAAAAAAAAAAAGAAAGAAAAGAATATGGCATTGGAGCATTCAAGTAATATTGTCTCTGCAGTTCTTTTTTTTTCTTTTTTTCGGCAAAAGAGAAGCTTTATTGATGTAAGAATCTAGTACAACGTACAAAACAAAATACATCAAAAAAGAAAAGAGACGTGCAAAAGTATCACAATGAGCTAAATCATCCTAACTAGGTTGACACCAAAAAGTCCATCCTATCATTTGCTAGCAACCCAGAGTTGGTGGGGGAGCTAATGAGAAAACAGACCAAACACTAACTGCTGAGTAACCAAAGCAAGCACACCAACGACAGATCACAGAACAGACCAAAATAAAAGCCAACTAATCAAACAGAACAAAGTAGACCAACATAACAAACCAATAGCACAGCTTAGTAGACCAACAGACCACAACCTAAGCAGCCA